CTCTCTCTCTCTCTCTCTCTCTCTCTCTCTCTTCTTCCCTCCAGATCTCTCTACCCTCAATCGTGATGCCGCTCTTTCTCTCTTGTCCTGATCCTTCAAGGGCTTGTCCTAGGACATAGGGATGAACGCTTTTCTCCCTCCCATTCCCTCTTTCTCTCTTCCTGTTGTTAGTCCCGACCGTCTCTGTTTCACTAATTTACGAGGCCGTATGCACCTCTCGGTTTCGATTGCTCTGCCCGAAAGTTATTATTAGCGTACCGCAAACTGCAAATAGCCCCTCGATCCTCGTAGTAGATGATGGATTTGCGGATCTTCCTAATTACACGTGGATTGCATTATCGTGGTGAGAGAGTGTCGGCTCTGTGCGAGTATAATTGGAATATTCAGTTGAGATTATCGACGGACTTGCTGCGATTGTGCGCGATGATAGTGCGCAAAGTGGTAATGATGATAATTTGGAGATTTAAAGTAAACATAGTTAAGTAAGTGACGAGATAGTGGCTTCTATCGATATACGATAATACAGCTCGATTGAAAAATTTTGACAGCTGAAAATTGAACGAATTATCGAAGGGGGAAAAGGATGCTTGATTCTTATACAATTTAGAAATCTATACGCGGATATAAATATTCTCCTATTAAATCTATTGAAGAATAAAGAAACGTATATAAAGAAATATAAAAATGTTAATTGTACAAATGTTAAAAAAGAAATGTTGCGACACGAATATGCGTGAATAAACGCGTTGTCGAGTACGACAAAATAAGTGATAACTCAAGGCGAATGTAATTCGCGAAATTGAGGTGTTACGAGAAACTTGGTAGTTCAAGAGAGAGAAGACCTCGAACGAGCGTCGCGACGTCGCGACGCGGTCGAGGGGATGACAATCCTAAATGCATAGAATATTTTAACACGGATGCCTCGAGCTTAACGAAAAATATTTCAATCCGTTTAATTCGTCCGGTGGACATCGTTTATTTCTTCCAACATTACTTCCCTCGACGGACAAGCCTGAAATAAAATTTCTGTTAAAACGAAGCCCACCCGAAAATCGTAGCACGAAGTTTCGTGATCCGTCCTAAGTCCCTGAAATTAAATTAGCAAAATATCACGGTAATTAAGTCTAGTGGAAAATTTTTCATTAAGGAAAAATCTACTTGAAAACTCTCGGAGAGACTTCGTCTGTGAAATATTACCTTGCAATTCTAGGACATCGTCATATATTGCGAAAGAAAAGAAGGTATCCACTGTAAATTCCTCGATGGTCTCGAAATGTTTTGAGAATATTTGTCCAAAAAGATTCTTAGTTAACAACTGTGTCACGCGTATATCGTCAAAGGCGAAGGATTAACGATTGCGTAATATAATTTTATCTCTAACATAAACAAGATCACGTCCGTTGAGAACAACGTTCCGTCAATCAATCGTACTTTTTATACGTTCCGTATCTCTCAAAGAACATGAAATAAAAACCCATAAAATGCACATTTTAACTTGCACCCATAAAGCCTGCGCTATAAAATAAAGTACTCATTTGATACCGCATTATCGGTCGTGTTACTGTCCTGATGAATAAAATGCCAGTCCGAGAAAGCGTACCGACAAAGTGTCATCATTAAATAATATCTTTTACATGTAAAAAGAGATATGAGCATATGTATTTCGTTTAACACGTATAACATTTTCAGTAGATTCTAACGCGTTAAAATAACATGGATGTAAATATAAATAAATAACATCAAGCTCATACGTGGAATAAAGTTTTGGAGTGAAGGGAGGAAAATAATTCAATGACATACATCGATATACCTGTAAATTATATATTAAAAATTACTGTATTTGTAATTTGTAATATTCACATCGCTTTATGTTACACCCGAATACTTAGATATATGATTATTCCTCATTCAGTGTTAATAATCTCGATAACGAAATTAGATAAAATCTGGAATGATCATACTATTCGCGCGTGACATATGAACATTAACTCTCAGAATACTGTGCATTATTAATAGAGAGTGAGCAAAATTACAATAGTGGCGTGCTAGTACATTGGCTACAATGCTGTCGACAATTTTCATTGTTCGTCCTTTTCTTCTTCAACCTCGTATAGACCGCAAACTTTGTTGGCCGGTACAGCTTTATCTGAAACAACGTCATATTACATTCGAGCTCTTTGTTACGAAAGTGGCACACAAGTTAAATGCGGGCAATATAAATCTAATACTTTTCTATCGATTCTATTTTTTAATTCAATTCGACTAACAATCGCAGCGCGCATAACGTATAAATCATTACTCCTGTATACAACAATTATTTTTCATTATACTAAAATAATTAATTTTGATGGTGTATTGTTCTATTAACATTATTTCAACACAAATTTCAAAATTTGCAACAAGCCAATAAATCCGATAAAAGGCTCATTTATTCTACATGAAACAGGATGCAAACCAGCAGTTTCATCGATTTCCTTTCGCTTTACCGGCAGGATGTGTATGAACGGTGTTTTTGTTCACGTTTTAATATTTAAACACGCCGCGAGAAGAGTTATGCGAAGGCGACAAGGTGGCTGCAAATATTCCTTCGGGTGAAATATCTATATATCAATCCCACTTTAATTTAGGATCACATTGCGCGAGAATCAAGTCAAAAGAAAAAATAAAAATAAAAAAAGAAATTTGATTAAGAGTAATTCAATATCAATGAAATCAAATTCTTTCTGATATCGAACATTGGAAATTTAAAAGCCTTACAAAACGGATTCGTGCAAATCCTTTTTTAATTCACTCATCTTCTGTAAGAGACTCTTTTTATCATTTCCTTCTCAGCGTCAATCGCATAACTGTCAGTGAACTTTTTCGCTTAGTCTGCGCTTTGCGTCACTTCACATTTCATTCAATCGATTCTCAAGCCGGAAAAAAGTTATGCGTTCGCCATTTCCGCAAAATTTGCGCGGAATTCGAGAGTTTTCACTTTTTACTCGTAAGAAAAAGCTACGTGAGTCAAGCGGCTCGTTCGATCGACGTTGATCCCTTCTCGCGGATTCAGCATTCGCTTCCCGGACTGTATCTAAAATGACGTCATAACGCCCCGAAGAGGGGCTATTAGCTTATCAGCAGATCGAACTGATAGCGGCAGAGTGCGCGCAACCCCAAAAATGGCATGCGAATCCCGATGGGACTCGTGCAACCGCCCGGCTCCTTGAGAGAACCATTTTGATAACACCCCTGTAGATAGCACAACAGCCTTGTTCCATCGATACATTAATTATTTCTGATCACTATCAAGGACGTTGTACCGCCTGAGCCTATGTGATACCACGAGCTAAGATCCAGAATTTACAATGCGAAGTAAATTTGCGCTGTTTTAAAGCAAAAGCTTTAAAACAAAAATTTACTCACAACAATGAAACACGCACTCTAACTTAACAAACTAATTTTTTTAATATTAATTATATTAGGTTTCTCGATGTAAATTTTTCATTAACATTAATTGTTGTATAGAATTGGTGATAAAAAAAAAAGTCGCATAAAATAAGTTAAACGTTTAGCTTACCGATCATCTTGGGATAAGGCAGGTTAAGGTTGTTCATAATGTCGATGAACTCCTTCAGCGACTTGGACAATCTGGGATTAAGGGCTTTCTCCTCTGCCACGGTGGTGACGGTCCTGCCGTTATAATCGTGTGCGGGGTATAGCCGGTAATTTCGCGGTAGCGTGAAGATCTTCTCGTGAACGGATTTGTACAATGTTGCAGCGGATCCGCCCTGCGCACAGGTAATGGCACAGGTAATTCGTGCGGAAGGTAAGTATGTCATAAAGCTATGAGACTTGCAATACAACGATAACTGGGAGCAGGAGGCGCGACCGAGCGTGATTAACAAGTGAAAATAAAAGCCGGCGTGATTTCGTATTAATTTGATCGCTGAAAAGTACGAATGATTAATCGCAATAAATTTTTAATAAACGCACAGAGAGAGAGAGAGAGAGAGAGAGAGAGAGAGAATTTTCTCGCGTGTTTATTAAACTCATTTATTGGTACTCGACAGAATTAAATCACCGTCGGTGTCCATTAGTTACTGACGCGGCAGTAAAGCGAAATTTAAAGCGAAGTTTGAAGCACGCCATCGGATAAAAATAATGATTCCATTCGTTCTCCTGTGTTAAAATGTCATTTAACCGAGCTTTCCAGGGAAGAAAAGGTCGCGGCACGTTCATAAAATGCACCAACGCGCGGTCGAACACGATGACGGACGGCTATTCATCACGCGAGAGTTGCGGAGAAGAAGTCTTTCATATTTCCGATGATATATCGACGTTTATTTGTATTACATGCGACACGTAGAGAAAATGTTATTGCGCGTGGCCGTCGAATGTTTCGACGAGAATTTAGGATGCTGCCGCGTCGTCGTCCGTGTCTGTTCCAGGTCGGCATCGATTAGTTATAACATTCCAAATAAACGCCATTTATTGACATTCAACAATTACATCGGCGACAAGTCACGAAATGGTATACTTCCGGTTTGGGAAAAAGAACCGCTCGTTTTTTCATTAAGCGATGATGCACCGAAAGAGATGCGCAATGGCAACTTACTGATTGAAATTAATACTTGGGTCAATGAACTCGCGACTGCAGGTCGATCAATCTAGGGAGATTTTCATGAGTCACGTGCAATCTGTCATCTACACGGTGTGCTCAAAATTGTCATATACGTGGGAATTTTACAAGCCTTTTGTTGGCAAATTTTGATGTCGTTCCTTTGAAAGAAAAATTGTTTATTTTCAGTTTTTTTTTTTTTAATTCAACGTTGCAAATCTATAATTAAAGCTCAAGTTGCAAAAGAGAGTTTGTTACAATATAAAATTAAATAATACAAAATTAAATATATATTATGCATAGAAAGTATTCTATCATCTTCTTCATACACCTATTAAGAAAGAAAATCTTTAAATTAAAAAAAAAATCTAATCCAATTAATTTCATCATTTGTATACTCTGGCCTTAAAGTGTTAGTTAAAAATTGCGGACAAAACAAGAGCACGATAACGTACAATATTAACCGTGTGAAGGAGATTGCATACTCTCCGCAGAAAAGCGTGAGTGCGGTTTTCTAACTTTACGAGGAAACTTCGCGGGACCTGTTCTCGCCGCACATTTAACGTTGAACATGGTCGCCTAATTGTAAATTTCGTTTGTTGGGCAGGTTTTATTTACAGTTAGATTTTCAAATGAAATCAGTCGTCGAGCGGAATAGCATAATTTAATAACGATAAATCTATTTACATTTTAGAAAAACGTGATGTTCAATTTTCTTACATGTGGAACGTAAAGCTCCAGATTTTTCTTCTCTCTTCGCGATTTTTCTCTCTACAGTCGGCGAAGATATCGCAAAAAAGTAAAAAAAACGGACTTTACGTTTAAATGTTATCACAGATATTCCCGCTCTTCAGAACGAGGAAATATGACACCGTTGTTCCATTTAACAACACACATCGAAGGTACGATGACGGGATCACGTGCGGTAAGCACGCGCGTCCGCGAAGATAGTTTTCCGGACGAGTTTCCCGGCCAGGCTTACCTGAAAATCAGTTCTGCCGCATCCCCGTATCAAGAGTGCATCACCCGTGAACGCGATTGCCTGCTCATCGCAAACATACGTGACGCAACCTGCACAGATGGAATATTTATGATATCGTGCTTCACTTCACCCGTCCGCCATCCGGCAAGTATCGCGTCGCTTTTTTCGGATCAAATATATATTTATCTCTTCGCGGCGATTCGCTATACGTAATCGTCCGGGACGATAAATTAAGTCCGGCTCATTTATCCTATTTGCGATATTCAGCGGAAAAAATGGGAGGAAAAAAAAAAGAAAGAAATTACAAACAGATATATTACGTCCGCTCGGAAAATATCAGCTTGCGGCAAAATAATTCTATCGTTCTCCATAGAGAACTTGATTCCTATTCCCGTAAAGTATAAAAAGCGATGTGGAAAATCAAGTGAAGTAATTGGTTTATTAAATATATGTAATGACTTGCCACAGAATTACGGGAGATATATTTTTTTTAACGAATTTACAAAAACCAAATTGATGATGATAAATTTCATAAAAAATATAACGCGTTATTCTAAACTAAATTCCAATGCAGTTTATATTCTCTACGCGGAAACATGTTTGCTTTACAAAATATTTATTGGTTTCCCTTTCTCGCAAAATATATACGGTACATTTATCATAAAAGGACTGAAGTACCTAGGAATTTAATCAGCATCGTTCGAGTTTTACGGGGAATGGAGCTGGTATCGAATATCTAACCCACAGATATTTAATGCATGTTATTCGCGTATTCGGTACGAAAAATCGAGCCTATCGAGCGAGTCCGATATCGAGATAGCTTAGTAGATGCTTTCAGGATTTTTCTCGGACAAACGATTGAGTCGTGACAAGCAGCGAATTCGGCACGATCGATAAGAATGGCCGTATTTTTTTTTCTCCATTTCGCCGTGCAAACTCCAGTATGCATATATATATATATATATATTGTGAGAGATTTACCGAATATTGTGTTAATAGAATTTTGAGGTCAAACTGAAAAAAGAAAGCTATTTATTTAACCGCTAAAAATTAATAAATAAAAATAGTTGCTGAACTATAGATAGAAAGTTGAAAGAAACTTTTACAAGTTTGTTATATTTTTGTATTAGATATAAATAAAAGATATAACAAAACATTCTTTCGATTTAATTTCAAGTAAAAATTATTTTAACAAGTAATTAAAAATTAAAAATAATTTAATAACAAAAGCTCAACTGAAGATTAATTACAAAATTTTACAACTCAATAGACAGAATAATATTCCATCAAGTCTCTTTACTAAAGTTTAATGAAAAAATTTTATGTAATCGAGAAGCTTGAAGTTTCTAGTAGTAGTATCATTTCCGAGTCCGACACCCTATATAAGAGAACCTCGATCCGAGAGTAACTCTTTCAATGTTAGAAAAGGATATCAATGTCCAAGAACACGTGCGTTGAAAAAAGTACAGAAAATTGCAGTTGTGATATATTCTGGATAGAGAACAGCTCAAGTTAATCACTCCAGGGACTCTATTTCACACGCAACACGTGTAAAATTCAAAACACGATGCAGCACATGCTCTTCTTCTAAAGATGATGAAAAAGAAGGAAGAGAAATATAAGAGAATAGACAAAGCCGAGACACTGAGATAAAATTTTAATCATTTAAAAAAAAAATGTTTGAAATGCATATTATTATATTTATATCGTTATATAAAAAAAAATGTAAATATAAAATACGGTATTCTAATATATGCAAAATATTAAAGATAAAACAAAATTTGATTTTATCAATTGCTATCAATATTTGATATTACGACATAACGTCTTTCAAAGTTTAAAATTAAAAACATAAATTTTTCATATTCTCTTTCTTTCTTTTCGTCTTCAATAAGTAATCTGCATATTAGAAATTATTGAATCTTCGTTCTTAACTATTCACGCACATAAATACGTCTTCTCAACAGAAGTAGCAGTCGATCAGATCGATCTCATGTTCGAGACAGACGGGCATTATATCTTTAATCTTTTCAATCCACGTGTAAAATAACGCCGTCTCTCACTACCCTCGCAAGTTATTTCGCCACTTTTCTCGGCACTTCAATTAATAAAATAATAGAACGAGCGAAATGCATTTCGATATCGGAGAGATATGCAGATATATGTATATTCTGTAACTTTTCTGCGACATTGTAGCCCCGAAACTTTTGCTACGCTGCTCGAAAATCGTATTTTATATTCATCGTGCGAGCGCATTAAAAATCACGTTAAACCGGATTACCGAATGCGTCACAAAGATTTACAAAATACGAGGGTTGTGCGCCAGCGCTTCGTGTCGAAGAGAAAAGCTTAAAAAGGAATAAACATGGAAGATGAAATAACTTCTTCCAAGTAAAGCTTAAACCGAGACTCAAACTCGCCTCATTACTAAGAATAAATGTTAAAAAAAATAAAATTCTCGAAAACGATAAAGATAAGGAAAAGGAAAAATACAAACGTTCATTTTTCACTCGTAGACTCAACAAGACAATATATCATATACGTATATTGTAACGCGAAATAGCTCACAGAACATGTCGAGAAAACGTTGAAATCCACGTATGTATCAAATATGATACACTATGCACTTAGCCCCTTATAGGGCAGCGTTGTGCTCTATTTTACCACTCCATGTAGCTGACACATAGGCGATGGTAGGATGCTAGCTAAATGGACAATGGTATAATATTTTACCGCTTGAGAAAAAAAAAAAGAATAACCAGAAACAAAAGCTACGTTCCCAACGAAAAATCGCTTTATATATTTTTCTAGTATAATTTTAATCAAGCATATTGATTTTTCAAGTTTTATTCTTGATTTCCTCTACTTAAAAGATTAATAAATTTCAAAGTAGAGTAGTATAAAATATCATGGAAATAATTAAACGTCATCTAACGAATAACACGTTAAATAAAAACATTTAAATTATAAATGCTGAGACGAACAAGTAATAAAACAGAAGATATAATTTAAAAATTGCTATTCTTAAAAATCTTTTGAATGTTAAACAAGTCTATAAACACTAGCAATTATCAGATTTGTTTTGTGTAATTCTTAACGTAAGTTTAGTTTACTTCAACAGATATCGATTCATCCGAAAATTCTCCGAATACTCTCTGCACAAGTTTCTCCGAACTACATTCGGCCAACAAAGCCGAATCTGAGGGGGGGGGGGGAAGATAGAGAGGGAGTGTCTGGTCTAACCTTCGGTATGACCCGGGGTAGGCAGCACTTTCAGTTGATGTCTGCCAAATTGAACTTGATCGTACGGCTCCAGGAGTACGTCCGCCTCGGCACCACTGCTGCGTGATATCATGGACTTGCAGCCGGGCAACAGGGACTTCAGTCGGCCCGTTCCGGTAATGTGATCCGCGTGCATGTGCGTGTTCACTGCAACAAACGGGAAAGATTGCCCGATGAAGCGAAGCTGCTAGTCATTGTTACTAGTAAATGCATAATCGATAAACGCGACCGAGTCTGTGCGACCGATCGCGCCGCTGTATTCCGTAAATGCATTACAGGGATGCCGCCCTGGAATTAAGAAAAACGACATTACGCGTCCGTAGGTGCGCAGATGCGAGTAGTTACAAAATTATTTTACATACATTTTAAAAATTTTTTTATACGAGGAATCTCAAACTTGTGAATCTCTCAAACAACCTAACGATAAAATATGTCCTGCGAAATCCCGGAAGAAAAAATTTTTTAGAAAATAATCTAATGCCGACAGTCATAAAGTTCGTGCTCCAACGTGCTTGATTAAATAATTTGAAATTAATGTCGGAAGTTTTATCTTGTATGACGCTTTTAAAATATCCACAAACGCTCGTGAATACAATTTAGCTTTAATAGATAATTAAATTATGTTAAATCTATTAATCTAATTAGCATCACCGCTCTCTTTGTATGACTGTTGCGGATAATACGCATAGTTTTACGGGAGTAGAACGGCATTAATAGCGTTTGCATTATCGGAAAACAGACAGAAGTGCATTATGGAAATGTCTGTTTGTTCGGGACAGAATTGGCACACGCAGAGTTTCGCATAAACAAGTGCATACGTTCCACTTAACCAAAACGATCCCTCACAAAAACTACTTTGCGGTATGATAACGCAATAAGATATAATAATTCTATCAACCCTTTTACATCCTAATATACAACATATATAAACTTTGTTCCTTCTTTGAAATCCCTTCGCCATTAAAAGAACTACCATCTACGCGGATGTAGATTTTTGCTAAAATTTATAACAATTTTTAAAAATTAAAATGTTTAAAAAAAGGAACACTAGAAATGGCTCTATGTTAAAGAAGTTATAGCTTATAATGTTTAATTTCAAAAGTATATAAAAATATTTTTCTAATAACTATATTTCACGTTTCACTACTTCAAGTTTCTTACCCCAAAATTATTTTTTCAACTTTTTTTTCCTATTATTATGTTAAATAATAATAAAGCAAATGTTTCCGCAAGCATATTCGAATTGGCATATTTTATAATGTCCGTACCGTTGATTAGTCAGACGAGAGATACTTTACAATCGAGGGTTGAACTTAATTAATTTCCATGCAGATCCGCCTTCGCGTGCGATAAGCACGATTTGTTGAAGTAACACGCTCTCGTCGCGGCATATTCGAAAATTATACAGCGGCTGGGAAATCGAATCGACTCGTGCCCGAAGTCGAAGTTCTTTATCGAAATTGGCGAAGTTTCGACGATATGCCCAGGCGCACTCTCAACGGGCTTTATGGTCCACGGGCGTGTTAACCCGCGGGACAATGGCGAAACTATGCGGGGCCCACGAGCCCATCCTTAGCGGCGGTGGGATTGCATGCTAATTCATTACGAAGTTCGGCAAATATTGGTCGGTTAGTAGGATAGTTCGCGATATAACTCTGCGACCTCGGCTCGTAAATCACGGCGCGGGGCATCGCGTAATTGCCGACAAGTACATTTCCGACGATATCGAGTAACGTCGCCGGTAAGATAATACGTTTTGTTGTTAATTAGAGTACGTAATTAATTAGTTATCGATTCGAGCGTTTTACAAACGAAATACGTCATTATATATTAGGTTTCTGCCTCACCTGGTCTATACCAGAATGATTAATTTCGTGAAACATTAACATGTGTATGTTAAATGATGTCGTCCAATAATCACATATCGTATTTAAATATAACGTGAACTCTATCGACTTTAATCGAGCAATATTTCTAAACGTTCAAGTCACATCAAATTTTGTAAAATGAAAAAAAAAAAAAAACCGTAGGAAATTGGAAAAATTCTATTACTATGTAGAAGTAGCTACCGATATTGATTCCGCGAGTTATAAAAGCTAAAAGAGCAATAAACGTCAATATGTAAAGCTACGTCCGGTAAATAATTTTCAGAAAGTTCTCCAAAATTTTATATATGTAACTACATATAACTACAAATGCAGGCAACGCTTTCGAGTTTGAAACGACGATCTCTTGCACATTAATCTAATATATTCTTCTAATATAATTTTTTTTTTCTCAAAAATAGTATATGCATTATATATTCTCTAAAAATTGTATCATTTCAATCTTGAATAAAGTGATATTTTCATGATAATCTTACGATTTTCCACTTAAATATATATTTCTCTAAAATTACACGTGAGATGATTGACATAAATAGATATTACTTAATGGGTTCAACGATAGATTCATATATTTGGCGCATGAAAAGTTTCAAAAGATGAAGTAAACAACCATAATAATGATTGTTGACGTGATACTATTTCAACACGCTACTGTTCCCCAAAATATTCGAAATTGCTATCAAAATATACGACATAGATAAACTTCACGTGCAATCCACCTGAAGTAACATGCAGAGTACACAATCCTACTAAATAATATCGACTGATACGAAAAATTGCGTGGCATTTTCGACGCGTCTCTCTCACGCGTTGATTTTCCGCTATTTTTCGCAAACCGCGAATATTTACGCACGAGATAATGATCCACGCTCGGTTGACAACTTACGAGCGTATTTTAACATTAATCCTAGTTCCTCGATAATTTTTTGGTCACGTTCGGCCCATTCGATGACTGGATCGATTAAAATCGCTTCCTTATCGTTGATATCAGCCAGCAGATATGTATACGTACTGGATATTGGATCGAAGAACTGAAAAAAATATATAATCATTTATTATTTTTTTTTAGTAATATTATATGTAATGTTATGTGTAATATTATATGTAAAATTTTATTGTCAGATAGATATAACATATTATTATTTGATAATATAAATAAATATTATTAATCATATTAATCTCGTAACTATTTTATCTCTATATTTATGTTACAAATACAATTAATTAAATATCTGTGCGTTAAGTGATTAAAATAGAAATAAATGTAATAAAAATAACAAGATTGTTCAAATCTTTTTATAATACATAATGTAATACGTAACAATAAATTCGCAGGGATTATACAAGTTCATACTTTTTTTAAATAATATTTACGCGTATTTCGACTCTAAACGGATCAACTAAAAATATAACAGGTAAGATAATCAATTAAAGACGAACAAATGCATTTCATAACGTTGCGTTTAACAACGATATATATTTTGAATCCTATCTCATGTTTAATTGCTCCGACCTCTCATTCGTATGTAACATGCAGGAGGCAAAAGGATAGCAGAAAATATAATTCTTTGAAAATATACGAAGCTGCGTAAAACCATTTTCACCAAATGCAAACGAAAAATAAAATATTTGTAACGCGCAGCATTCACTGATCCTGTCCAGTACTGACCCGTTTTTAGGGATAATTCGGACGTGTAATAATTTGTTTTTAGTTAGATTTTATTTGCGTTTTCATTCTATTCTAGCTCGAAACACATAGCAAAAACGAGACACGCTTTGCTTTGAGCATAAATTCAAATATTAACAAAAATGTATCAGCAAAATGTTTTTTATTGTATCGTAATCTCTTTGTTAAATCGATATGATCGTTTGTAGATATTCATACTCGTAACACATTTTGAACTTGCGCATATGATTTAATTTTATATATAATTTCAAAATTTGGCCCCTGCATTTGTTGGAATTTATCACTTCAACGCTGCATTTTATTGCAATATAATCTTGTTGTACTACACAGAAGCTTACAAAGGTAAAAATCATAAAAACAATGGCGAGTATTTCGCATTCCATACGTCAAGATGAACCCAAAACAGATTACTTTCCGACCGGTAAATCAAATTTCCGTTCGAACCATTTCAAACGTCTGTTGAAATTGTAAACGGAAAAAACTCTATGAAAAAAAAACACGTATTCAGTTACGGTTGGCCAGTACAAAGTATTACAGAAAACGACGCAGATTAAAGAACAAACTGCGTCAAAACCGTCGTGCAACATCGAATTAAAAAAAAAAAATCGAAGCTTATTGAAATTATCAAAACAAATCGTTTGTACTGTGCACTGAATAGGGAACCTAACAAACTTTTTAATTAACGAAATCCTTTGACAATTTGTTGTAAAAAAAATTTGTTTCTGAATTCTGTAAATTCTTGTAAAAAATCTGCTCTTGATATATCTCGGTTGGCTTGAGATATATCGCTATATGTATACACTTTCTACACCACAGTTTTTGCAATCCAATTTTTAAATTCCGGTTCAATGTATTCAAGATTACTCCAAATGTCCTCTCGAATGTAAACACGAATACCAGTGTTCTTCCTGACCGCACTTTTCTACATTTTCCTACAATCCTTTCTTTTATCCTCAAAATTCTGGATACGGAGTTGCTATGTTTTATATGCAGCAAACGTACGTAAAAGAAATAGAACTTAGATATCTTTTCTATACCTTACATTTTCTTTTTCTTTTACATATTTCCAAAGATCGAATATATATTCATTTTATTCAAAATGCAGTTTAAAAGACCGAATCTTCAATCTGCTCTTTCGAAGTGCACTTTTTTATATTTTCTTATTTCTCATATTTTTTCTTTTCTCTTCCATTTTCAAAATCTTAATCTTGTACAAAGATAGAAAAATTATTAAACAATTTATCAAACAGCTATTTATTTAATAATTTTTATTTTTCTTAATTCACATCGCTTCCCGGAACAATATTCAAAGATTAAAATCAAAAAAATTGGAATATATTTAACAGATTAAAAATTAGATTGAAAAGAGAGAAAAGAATCAAATATAAAAATATTATTTTTAATTTAATGTATAATTATTTTTGTATATTCAAGATGAGCAAATTCGATAAATATCATCACTGATTAAGTTTTAAATAATATCTATTTTTATATCTGAAAATTTGATTTACTATTTGAATTAATTCCTAGATCGTATTTAAAATTATTTTAAATATAAGATCGGATTGTGAATATATGTGACTTTCATATGTCATATGTTTCTGCATTTAAAACTAAAGACGGCTTTGACAAAGTAAAATTTCTATGTTATATATAGTTTATTATTTATAATATTATTTTTTTCATATATTATATATTTGACAAAACAAATATAATTATTTATTATTTATTATTTGATATGAAGCATATGAAAACAATTTTACTTACAGAAATTTTACTTTGTCAAAGCCGCCTTTAGTTTTAAATGCGGAAACATACGACGAAAGTCACATATATTCACAATCCGATCTTATATTTAAAATAATTTTTTTAATACGATCTCGGAATATTAATTCAAATAGTAAATCAAATTTTCAGATTTGATTTGAAAAGCAGATGATCCTTCTTGATGATCCTGAATATCAGATCGGATTGTACGCGAATTATACCGCTCTGAAAAGATCAGTCGCACATGTCGCTGCCGCTGCCGTCAGATGACGTTGGCGACCGCCACAGCAGCTGTCCTTCGCGCGAACATTACCTGACGAAACAAAAAATCCCTTGAGAAGGGCACGCGTTCCGTTAGGACGTCAGCCATGGTATGTTTCGCGTGCGTTCCGTTTCCCTGTCGGATTATCAGCGATGCTGCTCGGCAAAGATTGCGAATCATTGCCGGATCCGTTTATAAAGAGTTATCACACCTTGTTTCGTCACGCGGCGACGCGTAAGACTACTACTGGCGACAAGCGTGACAACACGCCGCCAATTTCCTCAATTCATAGCATCGTGTCGCAACATTGCGTAATGTTCGCAATTATCTTCTGCCATCTCATTTTCAAAGCTAGATTACGCATTAATCATGAAAGATTGCTGTTTGTTAGAGATAGTCTCTATCAATGAGCTTGAAGTAAATTGCGTGGCCATTATCGAACGATAAGCTTATCGTATAGGCATGCCATTTCGAGATAAGGTCGCCCATCTTGGAAAGCATGACATAATCCTGGTCGTTCCTCTGCGCGCCATCTTGATCGCCTCTTCCGGTTGACATTTGTTAGCGCTCCGCAGACACAATTGGTCCGATAGATTTTTAGGAAATGTATGCGTCAATTCTAAGCAAATGTATAAATAAATCGTAAAATCGTAAAACCGTATCTTATGAAGCTATCGTAAGAAATTCAATTATAGATTTACGTAAACTGCTATTCTATACTAGCACCCATACCATACATCGTTATATGTCCATAATTACGATAAATGAATAACTTTAGGTTGTATATTGAATTGAAAAAATCTCTTATATGTCTTAATATACGCATGTAGTTCCTAAAATATAGGTTATAACAGGATTAGGTTATAAGGATATTAACAGTTAAAATATATTTTCTGTATTACCTATTATATTCTTTAATTATATATGTTATATATATTTATTATATATGTATCATATATATGTATACACACACACGCGCGCGCGCGCGCGCGCGCGCGCGCGCGCGTGTGTGTGTGTGTGTGTGTATCATTGTTCATATATAATAATAATGAGAAATAATTGTAAATTTATGAACTTTGATGCTTATAATTTTTATACAATAACGTTACAGATAGCTTCTTGCTGTAAGATTTATGAGAAATCGATATAGATATTTACGAACAATCGTATGTTATGGTACGCATAAAATTACAATTCCACTCGTAAGTTCTTACAAAAACAAATTACGAGCTTTACGATTCTGCTTCAGAATCAATCCATTAGTCGGTTTCAGAAAATAAAATATAATTTATATAAAGAATTGTGTAATCAATTTTAATTAATTAGCACAATTTTTATGTTACATTTGATCATGTGACACGTATATACATATTATTTCAGTATTTGACTATCTTATTAACATTTTTTTTTAACGTCGTCCATAACACTAAATCGTGTTTTGACACAAATGATTTTTATAATCTTTCTCAAAAAATAAATCCAAAATGTAAAATAATCTGAATCTTGCATATGTCATAATATTTAAAATAAAACATTCATTATTCTTACTGTTTTGTATATTGGATTTATTATTTAACATTATTTTTATTATGTTTATTAAAATAACTTATTAAAATTAATTGTTCTTTTCTTTTATAATCATCGTTTAATTGAAAGAACAATATAGTAAACATTTCAGGTAAATTGGATTATACTTTTAGATTTGTTACGAGATAGAGGATATTTCTTTAAATCTAGATGAAAGTTTTGAATGATTTTTAGTAATATATACATATATATTTTTTAGATAAAATCGAAAAAATTATAAATTTGCCTTTTTCGATAATCGAAATATATATTATATATATATATATAT